TATGTAGGAGAGACCAGACAACAACTGCGCACCAGAATGAACGCACACCGGAAATCTATTAAAGACAGAAATACCCAATTACCTGTGGGGGCACATTTCTCACAAGAAAACCACTCTCTCTCCAATCTCTCAGTCCTGATCCTCAAAGGAAACTTACACAACACTTCCCAGAGACGAGCCTATGAACTCCACTTCATCAACTTCCTGGATACTAAAAATCATGGACTAAATATAGACATTGGATTTATGACACATTATAATCTGCCTGGCAACTGACTCCCCAGCCCAGCCTCTGGCTTCATTACTTTTCATTCCATCCAGGAAGAGCACACACCAACTGCTGAAACTTCCTTAGCCTGACGAAGGGTTTTTGAACCCGAAAGCTTGCTTAATAACTATTCTCCAACTATTTGGGTTGGTCTAATAAAAAGATATCAGATTCACCCAAGGAACCTTGTCTGCCATTTAAAATACAACACATTTTCATGTCTGTTGCCTAGGCACTTGGGTCTTTTCCATTTGTTGATGGAGTATTACTATGTGTCACATCATGGGAGAGTTAAATAATAGCACAGGGCGAGTCACCTGTTTTGGGTCTGCCATTTTTAATACAACACATTTTCATGTCTGTTGCCTAGGCACTTGGGTCTTTTCCATTTGTTGATGGAGTATTACTATGTGTCACATCATGGGAGAGTTAAATAATAGCACAGGGCGAGTCACCTGTTTTGCAGAAATACTAACCAGAAAAGCATAAGTTCTATGGGAATAAAGAGAGGCCTTTGTTTCTCTGTTTTAAATAATTTTCTTATTGACTTAGCAGTCTTACTTATCACCAATACCGACTACTTTTCACTAGTAATAGCCCTAGATTTGGGGGAAAGAATTACAGATAATCAGATGTACATTTTAACTGAGGGATATGTTATCTCAAAATAAAATATAAATGTGTTTAAACTACAGTTTGTCCATACAAAAAGGCACATTTCCTGTCCAAAGCCCCCTCAGAGGTTCCACTTCACATGCAGTCCACCACTTACATGGTACAGATTAAGACTAGGCCTATGGACACACAGGAGGAGGAGATAAGATCCTCATAGAAACTAAGGAGAGAATCCTTTTGACAGGTGCATAGAAGCATAATAAGGACTAGGAGAAGAGTGACTGACTTATAGGGCTACAAAGTACAAAAATAGAGAAGTATGAATGGAAACTCTAATTCTCCAAGTCTGATTCATCACAGAAGTACAGGATAATTACATCAAAGAGAGTGGAAAAGCCAGCTAAAAATTTTAGAACATTTCAATGGAGAAAAAACAGCTCATTACTTATGAAAGATAAAAAGGCTCTAAAAAACTCTAAAATGCCAAGACAACCCCTCAAATACTAAAGTTAAAATAATGCAGCATCTGAGTGTATCAAGGGGGATCTAGTTGCCACAAATCATGTGAAGTACTTTTCATAACCTCTGCTATGACTTAGAACTTCATTACCAAGGTACCTTCAAAACTGTACCAAGGTTCCCTAAATGTACCAACCAGTCTGCAGGCTTATCAAGGTCTGTACTACATGGGAAGAGTTTCATATGAACTAGTAAAAGGATTAATGAGATACAAAATGCCTCAAGGATCAAGTGTAAAAAAAATACTGGAAAAATAAAGGAATTGTTACACATGAATAGTACCTGGAACAGCATGCGTTCACTTGGAAGAGAAGAAAGTAATGGCAGTTTTCATGTATTGTAAAGAAAAACAGTTACTACAGCTGATTATGGTTGATATCAGTTTTCTACTTCCATGCCCACATAAACAAGTTTAACTGCTGAAAAGGGAATTCAAAACTGTCCATTCTTGCCAAAATTAATTTCTTTTGAAGAATAATTCCAGTAAAGTTCCTTCTTTCTAGAGAAATCTGGGAGAAGGCTGAGGATGTGCTACCAAAGGTAATGAAGCGGTATAAATTCAGTTTTTGTAACTAGTTGGTTGACTGACTTTCTGTTCTAAATCATTATGTTAGATGTGTTAAATCCTCTACAGCCTGGTTATTATTAGCTATCTTATTATTTACAGCTACTGGTAAATTGACTGAATTAAACAAACACATTCTGGACTCAAACTGCAAAACAATCACAGTGCCCTTTGATTTTCCCTTCTAAGAGAACACAATGTTGTTTTCAACAACAATTGCAAACTACAAGATGTACTTGAACAAAAAGAAGGAAAGAATGCTTGTCCAATGGAAGGATCACATGAAGTGGATATCAAAAGACTAAATGATCTTAAGAGGTCATAAAAGGCTCACAGATATTAAAAGGAAAGTTTAGTTTAAAGGTTGATCTGACAAAAAGAGACCTGTTGCTATGGACAGGACTCCTTTCATTCCTACAGTTTCCTATTTACGATAGGAATAATTTCCTATTGTTCATTAATTTTTATTTTGAAGGGAATAAAATGAGCAAAAAGCGAGGAACCTTGGAGACCACAACATCAGAAGAATGAGTCAAGGAGAAAGGCTTTTCTAGAGATGCTAAATAAAAGAGAGAAGTGTATTTCTTTTCCTTTTGGACAAGAAATCCTTCCAATTACAATAAACTTCGACAACTTTTAATTTGGGGGGATGTATAATAAACAGGGAAAAACACTTTTCCAGGGAAAGCAACTACAGTAGCAGGTGACTAGAAAAGATGGTAGGATTCAAGCCCATGTGAAAAGGCAAGAAGACACACTACAAACATATATGTCACCTCAAACAGGCACCTGCCTGCCTAGCTCATTTATATCTACTTCCATCTGCTACTGACACGATCAGACCTGTGAAAGAGACGTTGGCAACTATCAACTAGACAAAAGAACTGTAGTAAGCTCTAAAGCAAAATCATCCTTTTTCAGGCTGGTTTCAGTGTTCTGGTTTGAATGTGAAAAGGCAAGAAGACACACTACAAACGTATATGTCACCTCAAACAGGCACCTGCCTGCCTGCCTAGCTCTTCATTTATATCTGCTTTCAGTGTTCAGCTTGTGAGCTTTTCAATACAAAGGCTTCCTATGATTTAAAAAAGGCTGACCTCACTACTGGCACTTTATACATAAATAGTACTGCTCTAACTTCCTCTTCAATTAACAGCTAACTGTTGAAGAAACTGGGAGCAAAGAAACAACCAAACAGCTAAGAGAAAAGGGAAGATAGTGTGACAGAGTTTGTCTGATAAAATGCCTGTGTAGTGATGCAATAGAAAGACCTAAACGCAGGAAAATGCTAATTTTGACTTGCAAAAAGAATGCACTTACCCACTTTCCTCCTCTTTGGATCCTCACTCCCTGTGGTTGATCACAGAAATTCAAACTTGCATGAGCCACTGGAGACATTTAAAAAGGAGGAAGGTAACATTGGAATCACTTCAGTAAGTCATCTTGCAAACTGCAGGTGCAGGTTTAAACATATGACATGGTAGTCACAAATCAGCCAGGTGAAAAATTAAATATTTTCGGCAGTAATTAGAACACTTTGATAGCAGATGCACGGAACCTGAGCCTTAGATTGCTCTAGTATCAGACACTGCTATACTGGAATGTTTATGGCAGAGCAGTAAGGATTAGTAATAATGATTTTTTCCAGGGGCACAAGTCTTGGAACGGAAAAGGCCATTGCCAGGAAGTCTGCTGTGGCTACAACTGAGGAAAGTTAAACTTCACTTGCTGCTGCTTCCTCTTCTTTCAAGTTTAAGGGGTTAGGTTAGGAATAAGTGCCAACAGGGTGGAATACCAATTATCAAAAATCCTTGTGAGGATCTTCCCTTCTCTTTTGTAAAATCACTCCGAGAGCTTGAGAAATCTCTTTTCTCTTAAACCAGGGAGTCAAATTCATGGCACAGAAGCATAAACTTCCAAATCTTTTACCTGGAAGCTTTCCCCTCAGATCTCTCTTTCACCAATTGAAAAGGGCTGTCAAGCAGCAGCATGCTATCTTCTGTAAGTGAAACATTGTTTAATCCAGGCAAACAGGCAACAGAAGAGAGAACAAATAAATAAAGAGCTGAATGCCAGTGTAAACACCATTACCAAAACATGCAGGCTGCCCCTTCTAGCCAGTCCTTGTTCAGGCACGACCGGTTCCTGAAATGGCTGAACACTTGCAGCTCTTATCAATTTTACCACTGCCACCACAGCCCTCCCACTACTGAATCCTGCTACTGCCATGTGCCACCATACGAGGAACAGAGCATTTTGCTGAATGAAGTACAGTTGGTAAAGTTTTGTACATTTCTGAGGGGCTCACAAATTTGGTGCTACATAGGTGATGTTTTTATTTTGAAGCAAACAGAGTTCTTAAAAGAACTGCTCTCACTTAAGTCACCACCTCCAATTTTTCCTCCTCTTCTGCTTTTTCTTCTAATTCCTTAGAAGGGACAGACAAAGCAAGTTAGATTGTTAAGATTCCAGTACTTCCATTTTAAAAGCAAAATGGAAACAGATTGTGAAATGACAGGTTCTAAGTGTTTAGTAACCATGTGAATATTGCCCCCCCTTGTTGGCTTGACAAAGAGACACACTGGTTTAGAGAATAAACCATACCATCCCTACACAATACCCTGTAAGCTTGTGTGGGAGAGGGGGCGGAGCAATGCAGAGTAATGTGCAATGCTATTCCTTAGCCAGAATTTTTTAGGGTCCACAATGCAGGACCCTTCATCAGCAGCATAAGTTTGCAGGGCTGGGGAGGGTGGCAAGGCTTCATCCAGCACGTGTCTTGAGATGAAAAGCTTCATCTCACATAATCAATCTTTGGTTAATTCCCTCATACCTGCTCACTCGCTTTCTAAACTGCAACTAATATTAAAAGTATTAAAGAGACAGACTAAAACTAATTCAGGATGTCAATCTTTTATTAAGATTTTGAATTTTTAAATGTAAACTTTAAGATAAATTCCCTTATGTCTACTGTATTCTGAACTTCAACAGGACAATTATTCCATATAGTCAACAACATCCAGAGTTAAATTATCATTGTTTTGGTATGTATCAAAAAAAGGGAAATACATAGCTTTCATATAACCAGTAACATGAAGGTATACGTCTGTTCAGACCAAACAATGAAAAGAGAAGGTTGGGTATACTGGATGGACCAACTAAAAATTAGGAAAATATAAGCTGTTAAAATGGGGGATCTTCTGTCAACTTATTATTAACAATGACAAGACCAACAAAAGACAACATTTGATGTATCCTCTTTAATAGTACGCCTTAACTCTTTCCTTCTAACTCCCCGTCATTCATTTCTTTCCTAATTAAGAATATATTTGGCCAAAAACCAAGATTAATGGTAAATAAACAGTCAATCTTCAAATTAGCAAGTAGCCAATTCGTAAGGCCTTAACAGCATCAATTCACATAAATGAAGCATTACAGCCTGTTAATCTGATTGACGGTATTTCATGTGCATTTAACCAGAGTTCAAGGACAACTTAATTCAGATCTAAATCTTATGTTACAGTTGTATTTTTAATTTAAATTTTGGTTTTGTTAATAAACACCCTCAAAATAGGTCCAAATTCCTCTTTACTATGGAGACAGCTTGCTGAAAAGTAAAACTGGCCAGTCACAGATTAGAATGCATTCTCACAAGAGTTACCTCCTTGGTGATAAGGACAAACTTAGCCAGTTAGTGTGAATTCAAGGACAAAAACATTGCTTTGTTACTGACAGGAAATATTTTTTCTCCTCAAAGCCACTGTATAAATAGCAGTCATTTTATAGAAAAAAAAAACAGATTTCATTTTGTTTTGAGAATTTTAACCACGTGCAATGTTTGGAGTTTTCAAAGCACACACTGTGCAACAAAAAGCTAAATTGCTGAAACTTGCTTTCTGAAATGTGTTGGTATTCAGCATGAAAAACCTGGATTTTACGGGAAGGCTGAAGTAGCTTCAGCCACCTAGTTGCTGCTAATGGCCTTTTCTACTCCCAAGTCTCGTCTTGGCTTAGAGTAGTCCCAAGGTCGCCTGTTCTCTGTGTACCCATACAATTTCCGCAGAGCTACGCGGGCAGCTTCTTCTTCTGCAGCCAACAATGTTTCACCAGGACCTTCAGCTATCATCTTCTTATCACTAGAAAAGAGGAGTCTGTGAAACAAAACTGCCTGTCTGGCCCATGTAACAACAGTTCAATTAGCAAATAAACAACATGGATTTATAATGCAAAAAATTCTACCTCCTCCTTGCTATCTACTTCAATATAAAGACAGCAATTTCCTGCCCTATCTCCCAGTATATGTGGGTTACAGTATATTAAACAACATAATTTATAAAAATATGTGCTCTGAAAAGCTAATGAAAATGACATTTGACATATGATGCCAGAAGGGTGGTGCAAGCCAATCCAGAGCATTTGAATGAGACTTACAGGGATACCCAAGTCCCCACGTTGCTTCAGGTAGGGTCCATGCCATTTATATCATGGGGCCACCGGGCAGGAATTGGCCGTGCTTAGAACTCAAATGACTTCAGGGTTGATTGATGTATTATAAAGCTTGTTTATGGAATCACCTGGGATTTGCCCCCCACCCTCCCACAGCCCTTGCCTAGATAAACAAGGTCCACAATCTGGTTCCTAATACTCCAAGTAAACCTAAAAGTTCCTGCTTGCTATTTATTTCCCTGTAGATCCCTTCCATTTCTCCTCCAGGCAACACACTAGGCTTAGGATTTGGTCTCATTCCTTTCCAAAGCTGCTCAACAGTAGCTGCAAGAATCATATACCAGCTCAAACCTGCACCCATACTCACTGTACACTTCAAGCACCTGAGCTAGGATAGAACCTCCTTGAAGCAAGGACTATGACTAAGCATTTTTACAACTCTAAATATGTTGCCAAGGTTCCAACATTTGAATGTATATATACAAAGCCCATAATTTCTCCTTTATCAAATTATTGTGTGCAGCAGTTTTAACAATGATGTGAAGAATTCACTAACCAGTACAACCCAACAAAATAGACAGGCAGAACTGTGCTGGCTCCTGACTTCCTGGTAAGTCTTGGTTCCGGAGCAGAAATATTCTTCTTGGCCAATTCCTCCACCAGCAAGCCCATGGGATTTATACTTTTCCAGATCTCAAACAGGTCTTTTCCAATCAGCTGAGGAATTAAGAAGTCCTATGCAAAAATACATTAAAGTTTTATAATTAACTGGAAAGAAGGATAAAGAATGACTTACTACTGTTTCTGACAACAGCAAAGAAAGATGTACAAAGCAGTTTACAGAACACTGTGGGCTCTGCTCTGTGCAGCGAGCCTTTTAAATTGATTCTCGTGGTAACAGTCTCCCAGTAATTTTGATGGTGAGAAGAGCATGTCCAAGATGCGTGCACATGCAACATCCTCATTACAATTCCTATAGAAGAGTTATGAACCAGCATCATAAGACTACTACTCCAATTTTCTAATTGTGCATGTCATCTGAATTCTATTTGATCATTCTGTGCCTGAGATGCACTATGTACTTTAAAGTCACTTATCTAGTTACTTCTTTATTTGATAAAAAATTAAGCAGTTAGGCAAAGAATTTGTTGTCATACAAAAGATTCCAATTAAAAAGCAGAAATGGAGTAAGCCAACTAGAAAATAAAAATTCACATTAAAACTGCAAATGCTACTTATGGCTTGTTAGGGATGTTCAAGAATTGCAATGGAAACCTCCCCTCTGAGGCATTCAAATTGTTAGGGCCTTGTATTAAAAAATGTTTTGTAAATGACTGGAAAAAGTGAAACAAAACAAGAGCTGCATTGCCTTTACACTATCTTGCAAATAGCATTTACAGAATTTCAGAATCTCAGGTCTTGCAGATGTAAAATCAGATTTCAGCACCCCTTCACAAACCTACTGATGGTTATACTGGGTGCATCTACACACGTGCTCTACAGAGGAGTTGACTAATTAGCTCCGCAGTAAAGCATGACAGCCTACATGTGTTCTGGTATTAGGGTGCAGAAAATTAATTAACTTTGCTGTAAGATACTACTGTCAGGGACAGTACTATCTTAGGGTGAAGTAATTAAGTGCAACAAAATGCTTCTCTAGACAGTGACGGGCTGGCTGGAAGGTGCTAAAGCATGGTAGTTGCCTTCTGCACAACTCTGTACTTCGGCACTCTAGTGCCACAGCCAGCCTCTGAGCCTGCTGTCAGTCCAGGGTTGCTCCACCCTGGCTCAAACGCCTGCTGTCCCAGGCACACTTGTAGACACTGTCCCCAGGAGCAGCTGACTTGAGCTTGAAATTCTGCAGAATTTATTGCGTCGCACTCATTTCACATGTATATGCACCCATTGAGGCATGACCAAATTTTTTAAAACTGTGCAAAATTTCTCTTTAACATCTCACTGGTAATAGCAGTAAAGTATTACTGTAGACAGGACATAGACCCACATTTTACCACTACATTGTATAAAATGCAATGGGCATATCTATAACTACAGTTCTATCATTGCTATCACTGAAGAAAGAGCATACAAGCTGCATAATGGCATAAAGCTTGCTAATGTTCCCAAACCCCTGGTGACTCTAGTTTGGACTCAACCACTGACTTTCTGCATATCTGTCACAATAGATCTCCTACTTAAAAAACAGAGGTACCATTTCTTTGCATTTGAGGGGTTAAGTGCTAATTTTAAGATTACGTAGCAGAAAATCCAACAGAAACTAGTTGTACATTAGAAGGGTTTAAGAAACATTTTGAATGAATCTGGTGTTCCCCTGGAAACAGAGGAGAATTTTCTAAGTAGGAAGAGACTTCTTATGGGTTAACAGATGCTTCTTCCTACAGATGTCTTCTATCACAAATAATATGGTTTTAATTATTTCATGTTATTTGTTTTACAAAAATGTCAACTATGTTAAGAAAGGACAGCAACTACCAAGAAGGCTTTCTTGTCACCATTTGTTTTCACAGTACTGGCCAACTTACAGCACATGTGCCACAGGCAGCCTGTGTGTGGCACAAGGCAGACCAGGGAGGGGACAGGCAGCACAGCAGCACATAGGAGAGAAGCAGAAAGCAGAGCAGTAGATTGGGCAAGGAACAGAAAGCAAAGCATCAGTTCAGGCAGCAGCAGGAGACTGGAATGACACTCAGCGAGTGTGTAGGGCTAATATGTGGCATGCCAGGCAAGGTTGGCCCCTACTATATTTTCTCGAGCACTTGGAACGTTTTAAGACCAAGAGACCTGAAGTTCGACTCCCACTAGTTCGACTCTCACATTAGACACTCGCTAACAAATTAATGTAAACTTTCATGTGTGGGACATTATTAAGTCACATATTTAAGCATGACCTTTCTTTGAATGGTTTCATGACCTTGGTCAACTATACTGACCACTAAAATTGTTAGAGAAATTATACTTTGCAGTCACTGTCTCACATATAAAAATATCTCCAATAAGGCCAAAAGTACAAAGGTCTGCTAAAACAACAGGCCAACATAGCTACTTAAGGCTTAAACCTTGTAACGTAAAAGTAATGTTACTTTGCATTCCCTTGTATGCTAGCATGCAATAAAGGTGTTTTCCAAATGTCTGACCTCTGTTTATTGTAGAGATAAGATGCTACTGTATTTACATTTATCTCTGTTGCTCTCATTTGTGACTGTGACCCCTGTAGCTATGGACAGGTGCCAAGGAAGTGATACCATTGCTTGTAATAGGCAGGGACTTACCTGGACAAATATCCCTGTTTTTTGGGGCCCGCTGCTTTCAAGCAATGCTCCTATTACAGCAAAGAAAGTCCGATGCAGCACATCAGATGGGACAGGAAACTCTGCACAAAGTGTTAAGTCCTGTACAGACAAGTTTTTGGCCACGTAAGACGCAACGTCTTCGGTGGTGAGAAAATCAACAAGCGCCAATATCCCCGCAGGGGGCAACTGCGGATAAGCCTCTTCAAAACACCGCACGAGGTATGAACGTGAAAAAGACAGCCCCTGCTCTGAGAGCTTGCGATTATCCTGGAGATTAAGGGCAACCACCTCTTTGTCCAGTTCAAGGTTTTGGCGTCTGATTGTCTCACTGTTAATGTAGCAAGAATTAACGAAGGCTGTTTTGAGAAGGTCCAAGGAGAAGTTTTCATGCAAGCGGTGGCTGAAAGCCCGTATCTCCATGTGATAATCCCAGTTCGGCTTTTCGGAGCTGCAAACACAAAAGACAAAACAAGCTCAGGAAGGGAACGGGTGTTTCAAGGGGGAGTCGTCACTTGCTCCTCTCGCCCACTTGGATTTGAAAATGTTTGTTAGTGCTTGTTAGCAGAGAAAATGTACCCAAGCTGTTTTGCCAGGTGAGAACTGGGCTGTGTTACACGCCAGGTTTAAAGTTGCCTTTTCTTACAGCACCCAGGACATGTGAAGCAACCTTTCCTTCTGCCAGGGCACAGCAGTCATGCTGCCCTTCCCAGCATAGGCGACTGGTGGGGGGGAGGGGTGCACGTGCCCCGCCCCTGACAGGGCTGTCCCCTGCCGCCACCATCAGCATCTGTGGGTGCTCGCCAGCCCCGTCCCTGCCGTCCGCTTCTGCGGGCGTCCCCCCAGACTCAGGAGGCACCACCAGTCGCCCACGCCTCCCAGAGATGCTCACTGGGCCTTGGCTTCCCTCCGCCAGGAAGGACCCAGACCACGAGCTACAAACCAGGACAGGGGCTGCTGCTGCATCGACTCTGCTCCACTATGAGCACCCACAGGTCACGTCACATACAGGCCGGCACACGTCCCGCCCTGGGCTTGCCAGCTCTGTTTGAATCTATTCCAGCAGGTTTCAGCACAGGATGGATTACCGTGCGTGGACTTTATGTCAGGGAGGCAAATGCACATTACTGTTACATTTTAAAAGCCCACAGGTCTGCTGCATACATCGGATTCGCAGTTTCACATGGATTTCAATGAATGCCCTATCAGTGCTCTCCCGGGTGACTCTCAGCAGTCTCCTGGAGGTTTATGTCTAATTCCTGGAGGCTCCAGGGCAACCCTACCACGCCCTCGTCCTCAGCAGACGCGCACGCCCCGCCGGCCGTGCCG